TGTGTGTGTGTGTGTGTGTGTGTGTGTGTGTGTGTGTGTGTGTGTGTGTGTGTGTGTGTGTGTGTGTGTGTGTGTGTGTGTGCGCGCGTGTGTGTGTATTTTTAGCTTGCACGTTGGACTCACGCGCATAACGCATCCGGCCAATAAAGATGGCAGCTCCCCAGCTGACCGAAGCTTTATGTGTGCAGATTTATCATTGCTCGTTAAAACGCGTTTGATTTTATCCTTGGACGGCCCTTTCGTGTTTGCCGGCTTTTTTTTTTTTACGAGCGCTTTCTTTAACCTTCTCCACCTTCTCGCCCCGCCGCATAAAACAGCAGTAGCGCTGATCTCCTTCCTTCCACCTTTGCCATCTGACCGCATCCCCGCATCCTCGCACTCTGCCGTGTCGAATACTCTCTCTCGTTCTATTTCACTGGCAAACTGGATGAACTCAGCGTACGTGTCCTACACTTGTCATTCATCATTTATTGTCATTTCATCTATTTTTGTGCCCGCAACGGTAAAAACGGACTCACAACTTGATGCTGTAAAACAAATATGCTAAAAAAAAAAAAAAAAAAAATTGTCACAGTTTATTGGTAAACGGTTTTATTCCGAGTCAGAGTTTGCTGATCGGGTTCCATTTTTTTAAGATGTACCGCAAATGTGGTGTAAGTAGCTCTTGCTTTGCATTTTGTGCTTTCAGGGTTCTTTTGTACGTGCATTTATTTTGGTCTTGTCTGTTGGCACAAAAAAAGGAAGGTCAAACATTTGAGGACAGTATTGTACTTGACTTTGCACAAGACTCGGTGGCCTTTTTTTTTAAAATCTTGCACTTGACGGACACGCTAAAACGGACTTCATTTTCAAATGAATAACAAATGCAAACTAAAAAACGGAAAAAAAACAGTTGAAATGAAATAAAACCTCATTTGAATGAACAATCCCCAACTCTGGTCCACGTATTCAGAATAGCGGCAGCTGATGCAACCGAGGCGCTCGCGTTCTTATACGACGGGTGACTCAATCCAGGGCCCAAGTGGGTCATTGGCCTTGATTTTAGCACAGTCGGTGCACATTTTCCGAAGTTGTCTTCAAGCGCCGGATAATGTCGTTGACATTCTCTGACTTCATTTTACAGGATTATTATTTTTTTTTACATCCCAAGGAACTGCATTTCTCAGGTAGCGCTGACCAAAAGAGAGAATTCTTTTCATTCGCCGCACGCCGAACGTCACGCATCTGGGCCGCACGCGTCTCGAACAAGCACCGTACCGAATAACAAATGTACGCATTTGTGTTCACGGGCCGCGTTGTCTTGTCTTCGGTTATCTGCTCTTGCCTCACTTTGGGTTCCTTATCGCCGTCTCCTGCTTCTCTCGCTCATCTGCCGCTGCCCGTTTCCTCACTTCTGTTATCTATTTTTGCCATTTTCCCCAGGCCATTTTCTTTTGTCCGCGACATCTCACCCTGTGCTCTTTCTTGTCAACACGTTTTCTCTCTCTCTCTCTCTCTCTCTCCCATTTCCACTCTTTCATCCGCCATCTTTTTTTGGGGCGTGCCGAGGAGGGGTTGGGGGGGGTAATAATCTCCTTTCCAATCTTGGCCTCATATGTACTCTACGAGGCGCCGATGGAAGCAGACATAATGAAGGAATGGTAAACACGCGCAAGGGGCAGCAAGAGATGGACAGGCGCAAATATATGCATGTGTGCAAACACGCAGACAGATGGGCTCCATTATTGAGTGCGCGCGCGGGCAACTTGAGCGTCGGGAGCGGCTTTTTCATTTCTTTCGGAGTCGATTAGCCAGCAAATGGAGGGCTTAGTTGAATGACACGTTGGTAATAAGCGAGGCTTTTCAGGTGATTAGTGAAGCCTTCCAAAATGACCAAGACTTCATCAGTCTTCATCATCAACAAATTGTTTGACACCGTGGACGAATGTCTCGCCGTTTCCCTCAAAGGCATCTTTGGACTGTTTTCCTTTATGTTGTCGTTGTGGCCATTAACAAATGAGGAATTTTGAATCCAAGCAATCCAGCAGACGTTCGATCGTGAACCGCGATCGCTTCAAAAGTTCCACCAAGGTTTTGCATTGGCAAGGAGAAGCTCGACCGTCGCTCTCTGCTCACCGTGCATACCACAACCCGCATTCGAATTTGTTGCGAAAGTTTGCACTTTTGCCTCATCTCCTCTTTAATTTCTTGCCCCACTTTTGAAAGTTTTTGAGGAATGCAGTACATGGTCATTATGCCTGCAGTTAGCCCGTTTCGGACATTTTAGTCACCGCGTGACAAATGATGAAACGTCCGCAATGTGTTCTGCCGCCATAATCGCACCGTATGGCTTGTTGTCCATGTATTTGCTTAGATTTTTGCCTTTGCTGCCAGGTCGGCGTTGCAAATGAGCATTTGTTCTCAATGACCTTTCCTCGGTCAATAAAGGTGACATCAATAAATACAAACAAGTGTACGGTGAAAGCCTGGCAATGCTTATTGCACCCAAACAGCGGCAACTGTCAAACTTTTTAGGTCTAGGGACCCCTTACACGGCGGATTTCTTTTTTTTTTTTTTTTTTTTTTTTTAGCCAAGGACCCACTCCAAATCCGAAAACTTCCTGAACACAACCTTTACTCTGGGAAAGACGCCTGTATGAACCCCCACCCCTCCCCTCCCCCACAAAATAGAACAATATGCTTCGAAAAATGCACCGATGGGCTATTTTGTTAAAAAGTGAAAAGAAAATGCTATAATCATTGATTGCAAATTATTTGGTGGACCCCAAGGAGTGGGTCCCACACCCCCACCATACAAGTTTGGGGAGAGAGGGAGAAGGAGCGAGAGATCGGGAGAGAGGTGATTCACAACGGTTTTTAGAGGTGTCACGTTGAAAGTTTTACAACCCCCCCCCCCAAAAAAAGGAATGTTAAAAAAAAACTGTCCCAGTTCCACATTTTATCAATGCATCTGATTTACCGTTTACAGCGGTGCTTTCCATGCCGCTGGCGACCATGAGTGCTACTGGCCTGTGTTGAACTAAAGCTGCTATGAACAGCGAGTGCGGAGGAACGCAAAGCGCAAGTGCGCGCGCGATTCCCACCAGTGCAAGAAGGAAGGAAGGCAATGAGCAATCTTACCGTCATCTCCTGATCCCGAACCGGCATCTGTAGGTGAAGACAAGACCACAAGTTACTCAACAGGCCCAGGGAAAATATCACAACACGATCGTTTAAAACAGGCGTGAGCTCGTGGCAACATGTGGGCCATCTTGACAAGAGCAAGTGAGTTCTTCACCATTTGTTCCCAGGATAGACACACATTATTTCTGCATTCCTCCATTTTCTGTCGCCCATCTCAGCTGGCTCGGTATGAAAAATGCCTGACAACCCTCGTGGACGATTACTGGTTTCAATGTGTACTGCAGTTTCCAAATTTTCAGAATGTATTATCTTTTTTGCTTCCGCATGAAACCTGATTTGGCGCCGTGCGAGAACAATCGCCGTCTTTCATGCGATCATATCAGGAAATGAAAGGATCGATATCTGGACACGCTTTCAGCCTCATCAAAGCTGTAGCATAAAGAGAATGCCTGGTGTCATAACTTGTGCATTTATTTGCACTTTTTAGAAACAAAAATATGGAATATCTCCGAAAGTAGAGCCAATTCGGAAAAAAAAAACCAATGACATTTTCAGATTCAGCGGTATCCTAAAACTGTTGAAACTTTCTTGATATCAAAATGTATGTTGACCAGTGTAATACCCTTTCGAGCGTTAATACCCCCCAACCCCCCCACAACTGTGGACCTTTTGCGGCCTCCCCGTGTTAAGCCTCGTTGTGTCCAGACAATGATGGAGCCAGTCACCTCCTCCCTCTTGCATGGTTTCTTTCCACTAAATCTCACTGAAGCCCCCCTAAAAAACACTTTGAGCGCTGAAGCGTGCGGTCGTACGGCTGCGAAATGGATACTGATGAGCATTTTGAGGAACAGGCACTGTGAAGCGCAAAGCCGGAGGCCGCGCGCGGTGTCCCGGAGGACGGTCGGCGGTAATGCGTCGGGCCCGTGCGAACGGCGGCGTAGAAGCGGAGAACTGTGGCTTAGCGATATCACGTCACCTTTCCGCTGAGAAAAAGTTGTGTACCCGCAGATTGGCATTCGTTGGTGGAGGGGAGGGAAATAAAATTGCGATTATTCCATAACACAAATGAGCAAGTCCGGTACTCATGAAACTGCTGCCTCGCATTCAATTTAACATATGACCTGGTAGAACGGATTTACCAAAAACCAAGACGCCCCCCCGACCAAAAAAACCGGCTTTGCTCCCTCATGTTTTCATATATGCGTTGCGACAGGGAATCGGCATCAATTCCATGCATGTTTCACTTCCCGCCCGCAGTTAGTAAAAAAATATGCATTGCTGCAAGAAAACGATTTTGCAACTGGGCTCTAGAGGGATATCACACGGGCAGCGGGCATACATATGAATGGTTTTGACTCAAGCTATACGAAGGCCGTGTTGCACCACGTGACATACGTGGTGATGTTTTGATGCTGTCGCGGCCATCTTGATTTGCGATGCATTCGGTTCTCCCCTTCGTAGCTCTTAGCTCCTGAAAAGAAACACCGGGGGGTGCCGCAGTTTGCCCGTATTGTATGATGTATGTACGGAGTATCCCCGCTTTCCTTCAGCATTCCAAAAACATGCGTGGCAGGTGAATGGAACACTCGAAATTGTCCCTGGGTGTGATCGTGAGCGCGGCCGGCTGGTCGTCGACGTGAGCCCCGCGATTGGCTGGCAACGACCCGACTGAGGCTCAGATCAGATCACGGATATGATCCAGATGATAATCGCACCTTTGCTGACAAATTGGAACGGTAGGGCAGCGGTTGTGTGTGTGATGATAATCGGTCGCAGTTTTTCGGGATGCGTGTATGTTGTTGAAGTGGCAAATAGAGAATCTCTGCATTGAGTGGGTGTGGTCTTCCGGTCGAGCGCTGTGGTTGTGCATGTGTGTCATTGGTCTTGCGAAGACTGAAACGCAGTTTTATCTACCCGGCTCCTGTTTGCAATTACAACTGCCAATCGGTAGAACAGCCACTGAGGGACGACGGAGGATGACTTGGACATATGTAAAAAAAAAAAATCCCCAAACAAACAAAAATCATACACACCGCACCTCAACATCCACGCTGTATATTCGGGTATGTCGGCCGTGCGTGCGCCCGGGGATATGGCTTTCATGATATTTCCCAGTCGGGCCTGTAAACAAGTATTGGCACTGTCGAGCTGACAAACATCCATTTCATTCGACACGGTTGCCACTAATGGGATTTTTGATGAAGGTAGCGGGGGGGAAAGGAGGCCGGGCAGAATTGAGGCAGAAGAGAAGAAACGTAGCAAACGCGGAGGGCTCCTTCGCAGCACAGGTGCGGAAAAAAAAAAACGCGGATAAGCCGCACGGTTAGCCGGCGTAATGCGCCGCCGCCGGAGTGAGTTGAACATACTCGGCGTTTTCGTTAAGCTGGCCCGAGCGACTCGATGGCCGAGCCGCGAGGGGAGGGAAGACGTCTGTCTGCCGGGCTTTTCCGCATGAGCGAGCCGCGTTGAACTTTGGGTTACGTAAGGAGTTTGTGACGGGAATTGCACACGTTTTATAATCGCAAGCAAACAAGATAAAACTGTGCGGTGTTTTTGCGGATGTCTTCAAGCGATCACATTTTCAAGCATTTTGACGCTTTCTTCAAATGCAAAGAAAAGTGGGCTGTTAACCGATGTGGGGAAATGACGTCTCTGCAGTCAAATGATCTTCGAATGACCCAGAATTCAACTCAACTATTTCTAGAGTACTTTAAGACAGCCACTGCAGTATACAAATCGCTGTACATGGAGCGAAAAGAATTCATAGAACAACAAACAAACAAAAAAAAAACAATCAATTAATAACCGAAACAGTTGAAAGCACAAAAACAGTCAAACTAAAAATCAAGTCTCATGCCGACTCAAAAGCCAAAGAATAAAATTAAGTTTTAAAGATGGGCAGCCCGGGTGGGCTTTCCGAACATCCAGCGAGAGGCCGTTCCAGTGAGAGGGAGCGGCAACGGAAGAGACTCGGACCCGAGGCACTGAACAGCTGTGGAGGAGCTCCGAGAAATCAGGTCGTGTCGGAAAAAAAAATCACCAAAGTTAATTTTTCAAAGAATTGTTTTTGTTTGGAACCAGAAAAGTCAGAGCTCGTGGATTCACGGGGTTGGTCTTGGATGTCGTTGGACTCCACTGAGTAATCCCATCAGGGGCGTTCGTATCGTGTCATACGTTTCAGTTTCACGCTCACTTTTTCGGAACTACTTTGATCGGACTTGAAATAACCTTCTTTGAGCCGGGTCATTCCTCCCCGACGTCCTTATTTAAACGCCACGCGCGTCTATACGGGTAACCCGAGACGTGAGGTTGCGCGTACAAGCTGCAGTCAAAAAGCTTGTTTATTCGGCGGCTGAGCCATCGAAACGCGATTGTTCTGCACTGCATTAAGAGCTCCATTTGCCCCTCCCCCTTCCATGATCGTTTCCTCCAGACCTGTGAACCCGCCTCCTCGCCGCCCGCGTCGGCGAACGCGCGCTCGACGGCGGAAGCTTCCAAGCAGCTCCCGACTTTGTCAGCGGAGTGACTCATTGACAGCAAAGTGCTGGCCTATTCAAGAGGCGAGACCGCATACTTGTTGGATTGCTTTCAAAGCAGCCGACCCTGCCGATGAGGATTCGCGCCTTTTCATACGGCAACAATGGACGCCCTGCATCACTAATGGGAAACCTGAGCCTTGTCCCCCGGGGCCAAACCTCCATCCAAAAATCCTGAAGCGCCTTAATTGGATAATGCTTTCCGGTGATTTCATCAGATTCATTTTTTTTTTTTTTTCGACTTTGTCCAAGTTGAGCCTTTGCCAAATGTTGGAACATAAAATGGATAAATGCGAGCATTAATGGCTTGCCAATAACATCCATCCATTTTCTATACCTCTTACATTCCATGTGGGCCGGAGCTCAGCGGCTCAGGGTTCTTCAATTAAAATTCGCAGGGGTCCGGTCACAAAGGACAAGGCGGATAGAACCATCAACTTTTTTTTTTTTTTTGCGTGAGCAGCAAGCAACCATCGTGAATCTTCAAGAATCCAAGACCCCGCTGTCCTGATTCTGTTTTGGTTTGGTTTCCTAGTTTACTGTCATGGTTCTGTTCCATTTGGGACCAACAGGTGGCGTTGGACGGCTTCTCCTCCAGCGTCGCACCTTTTGGTCATCATGTCATTCGCTCTTTTTTTTTTGTTTTGTTTTAAGGATGAGGTGAAACTAAAATAATACTGCGATATATCAGTCACCAAGTTCTCAGGGCGTCATTATTTCTGCATCGGTCGAGTGTATGTTTTTACTTTGCTCAGTAAAATGTTATTTTCTTGTCATTACAACACATTTCTTCTTCTTTTTGGGACGCTTTCAATTTCAAACGGAGAACTAATTCATTTGAATTTGCTTAGATTTTGTCTCGGCGTTCGAGACTTCTTGCTTGCATGGATCGAAAGAGCCATCAAGGACCGTACTCACCCACGGGACAAGCACCCTCCGACAGAATGAGTACTTCAGACTGCTGCTTGCAGGCGTCTCTTCGCAGATAACACTCATTCTGGTAGTTTTGATTGTTGGAGCCGCAAACTGGAGCATAGTCATTGTTGCACTGGAGAAAGAGGGAGGAGGGAGGAACGGGAGACCCCGCAAACTGGAGCATAGTCATTGTTGCACTGGAGAGAGAGAGAAGGGAGGAATGGGAGACTGGGTCATATTAAGGTCATCTAAATTCAACAACTTCAAAAAAAGAGGTACACCGAGTAGAAAAGAAAGGACCACACGGACACATTTTGAATGCAAAGAGCTCCTATCTGTGACCCTGTGTACTGTTTGCACGTTAGAATCGGTCAACAACTGCAAACAAAATGAATGTTCATGCACGCGGGACCCCAAGATGTGGCCTGAATCGATTGATTTCTTTTGTGTCTTGTGCGCGAATAAAGCAGCACCAAACTGGCCTTTGTGGATAATTGTCGTCATTAACCGGCTAATCTCGTAGGCCAAGCACGTTTCAATTGCTCAAGCTTGATGACATTATCCCCATTTGCGAGGTGAAACCACCACGCTAGCATGCGCAACTGCAAATCAATCACGCCTCCCTTCGGTGATGCTATCGCTAATGCCATTGCGCTAAGTGTAAACATGTTGCATCAAAAGAAGAGTCGGAGATGGAGACCTTGCGGCGCAACTTTAAAGATGGGATTTAGGACAATGAAAAATGTTTCTGCGGTTCCGAAAATTCTCCACCACTGCCAAGTAGAACCACAAAGATGAACATTTTTTTCAAAACATGAAAGCGAATCCCTTTTGAACTGTGTCCAAACTGAACGCTGTCATCTTTTTGAATGTCAGCTTTTCGATACAATAGATAGACAACATAAAACATGACTTGAGGGTCACACCAGAACAGAGAACGTTGGTTGCTTTGCAGGCTTGCACTTGGCAGCTAGTCTGTTCTTATTCCTTTCGACAAGCAAAGATTCTGACACAAAACACGTTTCGTGTGTCTGCTTTTCTTTGCCACGCTGTTTTCCACCGGGCCTCAAAGGGTTTCCGGATCTATTTGGGCTCGACCTGTCTAATTTGGGGAGCAGCAAACACAGGACAGGACAGAGTGGAAGAGGACGGGACTGAAGTATTGAGGCAGACAGTGCCAAATCTTGCGAGGAAGGGACGCAACTCGTACTAAATAGGATGAGGCAGGACTGGTCGGGCAAGCCACAGGACAGGAGTCGTGATCCCGGTAGTGCTGCAACCGTTAAGGAAATGCCGCGCCGAGTAGCAAACAGGACAGGACGGAAGTGGACAGGACCCAAGCCTTGCAGTGCCGCGCAGTTATGTCAGCATCTCGTTCAGCTAACATTGCTCCACTGGAGCGGGTTCAGGTTAAGTGACTCGCTGTACACGAAAACGTTCCTTTCAATTCCCCACACGGGCCGTTGCCTCGGTGGAAACGTGAGATTTTTCATATGATTGATGGCACTATTCTACATCTCTGTTTTGTTGTTCTAGTTTATATGTGGCTGCAAAATTTCTCACAGGCAAGATATTAATATGATTTGATATTGATCTGACACCGCAACGCTGCACGACTAACAAATGAGAGCATTCAGCAGAAAAATATTCCAGGCTGTTTCCCCGGATTAGAATTGTTATCAGCGGTTTAGGAGAAAAATGCAACTTCACGGTCAGCGGCCATGGCGTGATTAAATGTAACGCACTGAGGAATAACGCAGTCCGTCAAACTCTCCGGCTGTGACGCGGCTGGAACACCAAGGCTTATTGCAGCGTTCGTTCCCACAGGAAAGAGGCCCCCGATTGTCCTTTTCTTCACTTTTGGGTCTGTTGAACCTCCAAGGAACTGACCTGAAATCTCTTATCTCGGGGCTAAACGAGCTGACATTTCATAACTTACTGACCTAATTTGTACAGAAAACAGTTGAAAAGCACCCCGGCTGTCTCCTGTGACTAAGTAAGATTGTATGATTTGACTTATGACCTGCCTAACTCAAATAACGACAAGCTTGAAATTCACTGGAGATGTGCTTGAGTCCCTCCCACAGTAACTTGGGGCTTGCTTGTGACTTCCTCCAGTCTACGCAGAATGCTAAGCCGTTTACTCTCTGAGACACATAATACCATGTAAACGATCATTGCAACTTCAACGAGTCATACGGTTCATCGTAAGAATCCACACATATTCATGAATGAAATAATTAGCGCTTTGAGTGGCGTGAATGCTATGCTAATGCTAGCCGCCACACGCATGACCACTCTTGCACGCACGCGAGCAAAGGGACACAAAGGGAAAAAAGGCAAACCTAAGCATTGATTCGGAACCCCCCGGGAGCATCATAACGATCAATTGCAAACACTGTTTTCAAACAGCGCGGTGGCAGGAAAAGACGAAATGAACTGCACAACAAAACACTCTCAAAGCAGTGGGAGGAGTGGAAGGAGGGAAAGCGAAACAGCACACTTGCTTCTGATCAAAGCGACTGGATGCAGGAAGGCGCCGGGCTGTTGGGAAGACGAGTAACAGCGAAAATAACGCCCAGCAAAATTGGGCTGAAGGGGAGCAAAGTCGGAGGCAAGGGAGACGGAAGAATAAAGGCTAATGAAAGTAAAAGAGAATATCAAATGTGTGCTGCAGGAGGCCAGAAAAAAAAGGAGAGAGAGTGAGAGAGAGAGAGAAGATGGCTCAATGAACGATTAAAAAAAAAATAGTAATACTAATAAAGCATCATGAGGCCCGAGGCTTGCAGGGGAACAAAAATAGAAAGAGAACGAGAAGAAGAAAAGCAAAAGAGAGACGCGGCGGATAAGACGGAAAGACATGGCAAGCCCACAAAGACGCTGGGAAAGCTTCCTGCGGGGCTCGCCGGCCTTCGCCGGCTCACGCCCTCGCCCATCTGGCTCGCGCCGCTCTTAACCCGGAGCCTGCCGCTTATGCCAGGCGTGATGCAACGCCAGGGCAAGATGCCCGACGCAACCCCGGCGTGAGACTTTTAAGACGGTCTCGGTCTGCGAAATAGAGTCGAACCTCGTTACAGCGTAACCCTGAGGGACATCGCCAATCCGTACGTTGCAACGGTACTTCGTGGGAAGCATTTCCGATAAAATGGCCGCCGCCGACGACGTATAATACTGTGTGAACATCTGGAGATGTAAAAAACATGTCAATGACAAATGACGCGTACATGAAGTCCAAATGCTTTTATAAGACATAAAACAAACATCTGTCGCATTCCAACGTGATCTCTGAAAACATCCCGTCGGCAAATGTTACTCGGTGTCCGCCGACGAAGCCACCTGTCGTCAATCAATTCCCGTCGTCTCGGCTGAACTTGGTCCGGGAGACTTCCCTTTTCCAAAGTCACAGAGAGTGGAAGAGTCTTCTCAGACAATCGCATTTGCTTCCGTTGTTTTCAGAGCACGCCCGCCCGTGCCTCCGTGAGTGACGGCAGGAAGTACCGCAACGTTCCGAGTCGAGCGGTCGCGTCGCTAAGCAACGGAGGGGAATCCCGCGCTGTATATTTTATTCATAATCAAGGCCGCGGCGGCAGTTGGCCACACGCGGTTCGTCGTCGCGAAGGCCTTTTCGCTATTTTGTGGGAAAAATCGGGTCGTTATAATGACGTTTACGTTATCAAGGTGCTTGTTGTCAGCAAAATCGGCAAATGGAAAATGAATGAGGTGTAATTGGGACTTTAATGACGCGTACATGAAGTCCAAATGCTTTTATAAGCTTTTGTGGGAAAAATCGGGCCGTTATAATGACGTTTACGTGATCAAGGTGCTTGTTGTCAGCAAAATCGGCAAATGGAAAATGAATGAAGTGTAATTGGGACTTGGAAATGTGAGCGACATGAGTGCGCCGTTCCAATTTACGGAGGCTCCCCTTTTTCTCGCGTACGTTCTGAGGAAAACCGTATTTGGCGAGTTTGCAGGCCTCACTCCGCTTTCTTCATCTTGAGAAACGGACGACATCTTTTCAATATCGTATGCGAGTTCATCCTCCAGGGCCGTTTTGTTTGTTTTTGGATTCAGTCGCGTTCGTGGCCCCCGAATGCCGCCGGCACGACCCGGCCCCGTATTGTTGTACGTCTATGCAAATTTCCGAGCGGCTCTTGGCCGGCCCGCCCATCTCGCACGACTCTCTCCCGCCGTCGACAAGTGTGCCTCGCACGCGTGCCCTTGCTTCGCTGGCTGCCATTCCTCGCAAATGCCGTTGACCTTGTTATCGCGGTATTCATGAGGCCGCCCTTTGTTCCCGTCCCGGTCTTTGTTCTCCTCGTCTGCGTACGAGCGCCACGGTAGGAGCCGCGCACCGTGCCAAAATAGAAACAAAGGTGTCCGTGTAATAGTCTGTGTCAGAAGCGGCGGCGTCTTTGATCGCCGCGTTTTTCTTGATGGCTACAGAACATTGATTTCTTTCAGCGCTGTCATCTGATAGGCTTTATCGTAAAAAAGTTTTGTGACGGCGAGGGTGTGCCTACGCGCCGTTCTCCCAAATGCTTTCAAGAAAGAAAGCGCTTGTCGAGCGAGCGCTTTGGAGTCGACTCGGGGCTCGCAGCCGATCCGATCGGCGCTGAACGGATGCGACAGACGACGCGGACGTTCAATCGGCGGAGCGCGCTTTTGAAAACGTCAGCCCCCCCTTTTTTTTACCTCACTAGTTTCTATCGAGACCGTTTTGGCTTGACAGAGAATGACGGCAGCATATTTAATGGCGCGCCTCTTTTTGACTGATGAGAGCGTACGGCAATCAGATCAGCCGTCCTGCTCTTTACTTAACCCGATTTGAGCCGTAGCATTCTTGTAGCCTAACCGAGTTATTTTTGAACCCTCATTTATAACAGCGATTCAAATTGAGTTCACTGCCACCATACGGCGCTTGGCTCTCATGTCAGTACTCGCAGGTCAAAGCGAATCTAAAAAAAAAAAGTCTTCAACCCTTTTGTTTTAAATGCTTCTAAATGTTTATCTAACGACTATGTCAATAATCGATTCATCCATCCATTATGATGTCAATGGTTAGGAATTTTTTTTGCTTCCCATCCCTTTCATCAAAAACATGACATTTCCAATGAATTGACTTTGCAGAAA